GGGCAGCTCGCGCTCAACTTCATCAACGTGGCGAGCCTTGCACGTGAGAGGCACAGTGGAGGTGGAGTTCAAAGAAGAATGAGAAATTTAATGGAGTTCAAAGAAGAATGAGAAATTTAATGGTTTCAATCTGCCCTTGTTTTTTCTTTTTGTTTTTATTTTTATTTTTATTTTCGCATGTTATCACTGTGCCCGTTTTTTGCTTTTATTTTTTGTTCTGCAAAGTGCGCTCTTTTAGTTTGTAGTGATGTGACAATATATCGTCACAAACAGAACTGCCCGGTAAAACCGTAGGCAGAGAGAGAGAAGAGGACAACAAACGAGGGGCTATATATATTTATTCAGCCTCCTGATGAGTCGGTGAAACTCCGACGAAACAGTTTGTCACAGCCCCTCGTTTGTTGTCCTTTTCTCTCTCTCTGCCTACGGTTTTACCGGGCAGTTCTGTTTGTGACGATATATATATAAATATATCTCAGATTCTCCAACATCTTCGCTTTGTTGTACAAATTTACTAGAAAACACTTTTCTATACACTAGAGATGGCACGCTTCGGAAACAAATTATCGGTATTCCAATGGGAACTAATGCTGGCCCAGAAATTTCTAATCTGATGCTGTATTGGGATGAAGCACGCTTTGTTGATGACATTTGTCAACATGATCTTCAAGCTGCTCAACAATATGCCTTCACCTATTGCCTCATTGATGATGTTCTGTCATGGGGACAATTACCTCCTCCACGAGAGCACTATGGGCTTGAGTGGAAGGAGATTACAGCTACAGATGGCTCCTGTACCTTTTTAGGTATGCATCTACGGTCCGTTCCGAGGGCTCGCTTCTCATGAGCGTCTTTGATAAAGCGGCTGCTTGGGACTTCCCTGTCATTCGTTATCCAAGTGTGACCTCCAACATCCCTTCCCATCAACCGGCTGGTGTGTTCACTGGGCAATTGACCAGATTTGAACAAATCTGTAACAATTGGCAGGACTTTCGAACTGCGGCAACAACACTTACTCGTCGTATGCTTTCGCATGGGCATTCCCCACCAACCCTTGCTAAGGGGTGGACCTGCTACATGCGCTCCCACCAACGTCGCCATCCTACGCATGTGACGCGTCTCTCTCAGTGGTTCCGACGCGTGCTGCGATGGTCCTTGTATCATCAAATTTCTTCTTCGCCGCCACGATGCTTTCGTCCTGCCCCTGCTTGCTCATCTGCTGCTACAGCAGTTTCCACTGCTGCAGTCTCCACTCCTGCAGTTTCCACTGCTGCAGGGTCCACTATTGCGGTTTCCACTGCTCCAGTTTCCACTGCTGCAGTGTCCACTGTTGCGGTTTCCACTGCTGCAGTTTCCATTGCTCCAGTTTCCACTGCTGCAGTTTCCATTGCTTCAGTTTCCGCTGCTGCAGTTTCTAGTGCTGCGGTTTCCACTGCTGCAGTTTTCAGTATAACATCCCTAACGGTAATTCCCCCTACTTTAGTTTTTACTGCTACAACTTCCTGTCCTGCATCTCCAATGCAAAGAACATCACAATCTCTCCAACGCCCACGTCCTTTGCTCCAAAATCTTGCCCGATGCACCCCCCTCTCATCTTTGTCTGTGCTTGGCCGTAGACAGGTGCGGTCCTCCTCACCATCCCCATCTCCTCCACGGTCTCGCTTGCGAAAAGACTCTCTGGTTTCCATTGTTCCCATTTTCCACCTTCGTTGCTAGGTACAAGTTCAGCTTCTGTTTGCAACACCACTACTCTTGTTGTGTATCGCCGACGACATCCGCTGCATCGTCACTTGTCCGGGGATCAGCAACCTGTTTCTTTGCCTGCCCCGATTCTCTCTGTGCCTCCTCCACAGGTTGTTGCCGTTCCTTTGTTTCAAACGGCAATATCCGCTCCTTTGCCTCCTGCAGACAGTCCAGCTGCCTGCAGGCAGCCACAGTACCCTGCGGCGTTAGATATTCACGACTCGCCTGTACAACACTATGTGGTCCCTGCCCAGAGTACACTCCCGACTCCAGGTACAGTCCCTACTCAGGATGCAGCCCTAAACGTTGAGGGATTGGAACATGATCTGCCTGGATTGCAGTTGACCCAACAAGGCGTAGACCACATGGGGGATCTGCAAATGGCTGACCAGCATTGTTCGGATGAACCACAATTTTGTGCTCCGCCATGCGCAGACCACATGGGTGATCTGCAAACGACTAACCAGCAAACAACCCAACACAGGTTGGACTTGCAACACCATCTGGGTGATCTGCAAATTGTTGGCCAGCATCCAACAAACCAGCCTGAGAACCTCACCAATCTCTGTGGTCTGACAGCAACTAATATCTGTCTTCACATTCTCCACCGCCCATTTTATACACCATCAGACTTCCTTGCAATCGCCCTTCAGCTTGATGCTGACCTTCCCCAACGACAGCCAGAGGATTGTAATTATACCAGGGAAGGAGACTTTACCATTGCTGTCCTACAAGTAGCAATGAGGGACTGTCAACTTGAAGTGCGCAATGCTTGATCAGGTGAGTGGTTTAATCCTCCATCCCACATCTCTGCCTTTATTGTGCACGGCCCTGGCCATTACATGGCCATTGTACATGCCTCTGACCACTGGGAGCTGTGGGACAACGGCACCATGGTCCATGCCATGATTGATGTCATTGATTTCTTACAAAATGATGCTGTTTTCTTGCGACAACAAACCGTCCGCAAGCTCTTTTATGTTGAAGATCATTCCTCTGGCGCCGTGCTGCAGCAAGACAATGTACCAACACTCTGCGACCTTCTCCTTTGCACAGCCACAAACACTGTTACGCTTGGCTGTAGACAATGTACTAAACTCTGCGACCTTCTCCTTTGCACAGCCACAAACACTGTTACGCTCGGCTGTAGCCGCCATCGTCTCTGTCACAATCACTACAAGGACACGGTTTCTGCATCCATGTGTGCAGAGGACTGTCCCACCGTTCCTGACTGCAGGCACCCTCCGCATCCGGACACTATATGTCCATTTTGCGGCCATGGGCGCTATACTGAATGCATGCTCTTTTGTGGTGACCGTTCTTCTTTCATTTTCGTCTGCAATCGACATGCCATTTGTTGGGGGTGTATGGTGGGCATGCTCAATGTCACCCGTCGTGTCAATTGTTGCACTGAGAATGCCCAGCTAGGTCTTCCATGTGTTCATCCACCTCATTCTTACAATGTATGTCCTCTCTGTCGTCAAGGACACACTCTTTCTTGAGCCTTTTCTTATCCTCTTTTGCCTTCATCTTCACTCCACACTTTCCGTTACTTTCCCTGTATCGTTCCTTGTTTGTCTGCTCTCCATCTCTCCTCCCTGTGTTTATCCCCTCCCCCTTCACTCTGCCTCTTTCTCACAGCGTACAAGTGGGCTGTTATGGCACACGGGGATGGGGGCAGCTCGCGCTCAACTTCATCAACGTGGCGAGCCTTGTACGTGAGAGGAACGGTGAAAGGGAAGTCAAAAGAAGAATGAGAAAAACGAATGTCGATCAAGCGTAAGCAAGAACAACAGATTGTCAAAGAGAAAACCAAACAGGACAAAAGGCAAGACGAAGACCACACAAAACACGAAAGGAACCATATGGTAAGAA